TACTGTATATTGACCCTTCAGCCACAAGATCCTAAATCAGAACAAGTAGACAGTATACTGACAGTATTAAATTCTTACAATTTAACTCAGATCTTTTCCTATGATTTGATACCTCTATTCATCACGAACATTGAGAGGTATCAAATCAGTTTAAAAGGTCTAATGTGTATACATATTCTTATTACTTTTAATATAAATAGGATTAATGAAGATTTATGGAACGTGTACTAATTTTCTATACATATTATCATGACTAATTATAAAATAAATCACGCTTCTCAACACTGAGATATGGGCTTTGTGGACTGTGGGGCGCTGATCATCTTCCCGAGGCAAGGGAGTTAACTGACTGTAAAAGTCTAGTTTCCACCCTTGCCGAACTAGGCTAGAATTCCAAAGTTACATTTTGGGGTACTAACCTGTCTATACATCGTCCGAGTGAAATCGTCAAAAGAACAAGATATCCTGTTCGTTATCAACATGGATTTCAACATGCAGATAATGATTGACTGCAGGATGTGCAAAACATGTTTACCGTCAAATGGGCGTCAACAGATATTTTCCAAATCTTTTCATGTTTTGGTGCTCAAATGATTTGATGCACTTCGCTAGGTAAGGCCCGTTCTATTACAATATAGATCTTGATTATCGATCAGATCGTCTTGACTAGGGGCCGTCATATTGTTTGAAGCAAATGAAAGTGATATGTGAGATGGAATCTGATTGGTCAATAGAAGGGACATAGAAGGGACATAACTCGTAATGGCCACTGATGGCACTACGATCGAGCCACGAAATTCCAGCGTTGTTTGGCAAGGGTGGAAACTGGACTGTTGTAGTCAGTTAACACCCTTGCCTCGGGAAGATGGACACTGATAGGTTGCTGATGGTGGTGTTGATGCTGTATGTGTTTGTTATGTATTCCTGCAGTTGTTGTTCATGGTTGTTGTCTGTTGTTCTTCATCACTGTATATTAGACTATGAAGTATTTTATGTATATTATGAAAATAAATTTATTGATGTTGCATTCAATTCTTTGTCATGCTTTCTCTGATTATTCTTTGTATGTGTTGCTTACACAGGACCATGTAACTAATTATAACAATTAAAATTTAAAAAAGTCGCCAAAAAGATCAAGGGCCTCTTCTATGCTTATTTTTGCGACTTTTTAATTTTTTATTGTTATAATTAGTTACATGGTCCTGTGGTTGCTGATAATGTATTATTTGAAAACAAAATGAATAAATATGGAGATAAGCATTCTGTTTTTATCAGATGCAGGTAATTTTGATTTGAAACCTCTGACTGAAAGCTCAGTATGTTGAAGGACATGTTTTCAAGGCTTTGTCAATAAATCTCCTTGTGAGCGTAGTTGAACACAAGCTATTTCATGGTGGCCTTTATAAGACTGAGACTAGACCAGCCAGGACAGTGGTGCAGCCTAGTGGTTGAAGCGTTCAGTCATTCCACCAAAGACCCTGGTTCGATTCCCCACATGGGTAGAATGTATGAAGCCCATTGCTGGTGTACCCCACCATGATATTGCTGGAATATTGCTAAAAGTGGCATACTCACTCACTCTAGACCAGCCAAACCAGTGAATGAAAACATGAACAATCACCCATGACCTACAATCAGTCACTGAGCCAGATTACTAAAGTACTCATTGAAATGAAAAAAAAACTGTTTTGCTGGATTTAATAATCGACACAAAGCATTATGTAGATGTAAATACGAAATAACAAAACAACTGGAAAAGTACTAGTCTTGATTTGCTAGTTTTAACTGAGTGCTCAATACAAAATGTACTTTACAGGAGGTAATTTGTAGGTACTTTCAACATTCAAAAATAAAACTAAGTCCAAATTGACATGGCAGAAACAGGCTATAGGCATTGTGCAAGTTAGCCTTGAAAAAAAAAAGTTATCAAAACAACAATAAAAATAACAGCTATGTTTATGTACATAATAATAATGACATGTAAGTTGTTGTTTGAGAAGGGAATATGTTACTTTTACGTTCTGATATTTTGACGATGATTCACTATCCCACAATGCCACTCACAAATCACTAACCACTGACAAATCACATGCACGTGGGTTTCAAGCACCTGTTTTCACCTGTCGTCAAGGTGTCATATAGGTCATGGACATTCACCTTGATCTACTAACACCTGGTTATGCACAGTTTCACGATAGTCTGTTTTATTCATATTTTTACACACTTTTACGTGTTAAAAGAAATAAAAACCTTTGATACGCTGTATTTGTGACAAGGCCCAATTACTACTAATTGAGTTGTTTGAATATTTACAGATTTTGTATATTAACTGCATTTATTTAAAATCTGAGATCGCAAAAACAGTTTTTTTTCATTTCCGTGAGTACTTTTAGTTTTCACTTGTTTGTTGCTTAAAGCCACACTCAGTTGTGTTCCAGCAAATGTCAGGAATCTGCTATAAAACCTATTGACTATTTTGGCAGTGTTTTGTCTAAATTATTGCTCGCTTGATAGAAAATTAAGCTAATCAGTCGGACTACTTAGATTCCTTATTTCAGATTACCTATTCAAGGCTTTCACGATCAATACCAATATTTGACAATTAAACTGCGCTTTCAGCGACGTTTATAGAAACGTCTCGTGTGTGCTTCTCTCTTGGTTCATGTACGACTACTGGGATCATGCGATGAAATTTTATGTCACACAAACAGACCTACCGGATATATCCCGAGCGCCTGAAGCCTTGTTGCAAATATGATCAATCTTTCACACAAAAACACAAAAATAAGTAAGGTCGCCCTGACCTTGCCCGGTGGTGTCGGATGAAACAAGAACTATACAGTGTCTGAATGGGGTTAAACTGCTTCGTAGTATCTCAGTGGGCAAACACTGTAAAACTAGTAAACACTTGTGCCAGCAGACAAACACACACGTGCATGCACGTTGCAATTGTGAAAGAAATGAAATAATCTTGAACTCGACGTTATTTAACCCCATTTTACCCAATCTCTTTAAAATCAGATCTTAGTTCTGACTGACTGACTGAACTGAACTGAATTTTAATTACACCCAGGTCGCTATCAGCGGTATTATAGGTATCATTTCACCAACGTTTATATGTACATATAAATATAGGTTAAAACAACATTAAACATTCACTTGCATACAAGGAAAGGTAATTTAGATGATTTCCCTGAGTTTACTTTTGCTCCCAAACATATTATTCTTAGTTTAACCAAGTTTAATAGATGGAGTCTTCCAAGTTCTCCATTTACCATAAAATTTAGAGTACCTTTTCTTCATGATAAAATATGTTTTTTGAAATCATTGGAACACGGTATCGGCTGACGGAACATGCATCATAATTGGGTTGAATCTGAGATTCGAACTCAACCGACCCTTTCAGCTAAGAGATACAAGCCTTGAGATTTAGGCATCTTAGAAAGCAGTAGCTTGACCTTGGATATACGTGATGATACGTTATTTCTGAGACTCTGCTTCAAGTGATCCCTTGTTGAAGGATTGATATTATACTTCCACTGGCTACATATCACCCAGTTCCATCAGACTGATACCCGCTAACGCTGTTTCAAATTCAGCCAATACAAATACAGACACACTAATTTATATGTACAAGTGTGTCCATGATTGAAAACGTTGGCGTGCTGAGACAATGGGTGGTCCTGTTCTGCTTGTATGTACAGGAAGATACGTCCTCAGTGTCCATAGAGTCCTATGTCAATCTCATTAAAATCAGATCTTAGTTCTCACTGCCGCTAAACAAAGCGGCAGCGAGAACTAAGATCTGATTTTAATGAGATTGAATCCTATGACCTTGTAGCAACCCATCTGAGAGGATTGAATAGTTCAACGACTTGGCTAATGGTGAGTTATTGTTGCTCTTGAAAGCTGTCAGCCACTGAGTGGCCTGATGCAGACTACATTGTTTACAGTTCGACCCGGTAGAGATGGATGGTTGGTTGGTTGGTTTGTTGTTTAACGCCGCATTCAGCAATATTCCAGCTATATGACGGCGGTCTGTAAATAATCGAGTCTGGACCAGACAATCCAGTGATTGACATCATGAGCATCAATCCACGCAATTGGGATTGATGACATGCATCAACCAAGTCAGCGAGCCTGACCACCCGATCCCGTTAGTCGCCTTTTACGACTAGCATAGTCACCTTTTACGGCAAGCATGGGTTGCTGAAGACCTATTCTACCCCGGAATCTTTATGGGTCGGTAGAGATGGAATATTGCTGACCGCGGCGATAAACAACATTCACTCCATGAATTTGAGTATCCGTAAGGCATTTTTGTGAGGCATTTGCCATTAACATTTCAGACATTTATACAGCATGTGGAAGCTGACTTCATTCACATGCAGATGTTTGCAAACGTGCATCACCATTTATTATACATATGTACTAATTATTCACATTTACGACGCATAATGTTTTTTTAAGTTTGTGGTGGCACACTAACGGTGCGCAATCCACCCGACCAGTGTTTTCCACATTATTATGTTACCATCGAGTACATTTCGTGAGGAACTCAATATTGTTTGCATTTGTGGATTGATTACGTTTTTATTCAGAGGTCAAGAGACCAACCACTGTGAAATTATATCCTTTGATTAAATAATATACCCAGATATGCTTTTACACAACACCGCCAATGTTCAAAGTTCGATAACGTGTCCGTGATACGTATACAGATGCACTCAAATAATCTCGAAATATAAAATACGGAGTAACTCTGTAATGTACGATCACAAGGATTGGGACGCCTTCGAAAAGGAATAGTTATTTGCTTGAAATTTGATGGTATTTTACGAATGCTTCTTGAGCTTATTGCGCAAATGAGCTCCAGTTTAATGTTACATTAGACAGTAACCCAGTCTGTTCTTCTAGTCCAGAGTTATGTGCCCTTAGGTCAAGGAGCGTAAAATGGCGGTTTAGAAGTGGAGACGTTTTGTGAGCGTTCAGCGGTATGTAACATACCAGCGTTAGGAATATGACAGTGACATACTTTTCAATTGTTATACAAGAACTAATTCGACACCCTCCCACGTGGGCATGTACCAAGTTATCTGGTCAACGTCAAAGTTTCCTTTCGCTGGTAAACAAATCTTAGTTTTGGGGGCTGATAGTGTACTAGTATCGCAGCACTGATATGGCCACTCACGATCGTTTTACCTTCGAAATATACCCTGGGTATAACGTTATATATCGAAAACGAGGCCAAGTGAGTAGGTCATCAGATTGTTCACCGTTCTTTTTTTGTATTGCCCTGCATTTCGTTGAAATATTTCATTTATTAAAGTTTATCAGTATGCCATAAAAACAAACTAAATCTGGGAACAGCTCGATAAGCTATATCGTTTTGTCCCGAGGGTACATTTTGTGAAGCGATCGAGAGTAACCGGGTACCCTATCAGCACCAGTTTTAAAGTGGAGACCTGATCTCATAATATAAATGTTGGTAAAAACTACCATTTGTGTTTTTAACAGTCAGCGATAGAAACTATCATTTTTAGTCCACTAGTCTTTATAATGATAACATTAATAAAACAAACCCCTTAAAAATGGCAAATCTCTACTAGTCCTTATGATACCTTAACAGTTGAGCAGTTTGACAAGGACTACAGGACTAGTGCCAATTTCTAACACTGATAGGTCCATTGATCAATTCTTTAACTATTCATTCCTGTTAAGATAATGACATGAACGTAGCTGATGAATGCTGTTGCTGTCGTCGCCCTCCGCGTCACCCTGGTGTTGATGGTGTCACGTGATGTCCAGTCAGCCACGCCCTGTCCCCGGTCCTGCATAACAGACGTCCAGGTGCTGTCCTGTCGCCGACTGACCACCCGGGATCTTCAAGTTGTAGGGTCCTGTGTGGAGGATCTGCCATTAACAGCAGTTGTGTACGTATATCCACAATGCAATATGAGGGCGACCTGTGTATAAAGTCTGGACCAGACAATCCAGGGATTTATATTGTGAGCACTGATCCACGCTTTGAACGTATGATGACACCAATCAACCAAGTCACTAAGCCTGCCCATGCAGTTTTATGGCCTGTACAACCAGCATATGTTGCTGGGAACAATACTAACCAGAGTCTCCATGGGTCAGGAGTGAGTGAGTATGGTTTTACGCCGCTTTTAGCAATATTCCAGCAATATCACGGCGGGGGACACCAGAAATGGGCTTCACACATTGTACCCATGTCGGGAATCGAACCCGGGTCTTCGGCGTGACGAGCGAACGCTTCAACCACTAGGCTACCCGACCGCCCCCCATGGGTCAGGAGCATTTGTAACAGTGAAGTGACTAGAGTAATTGTTGGTAAAGGTCACAGTCAGCAATAGGCCAGGTATCTCATGTCTCCATATAGATAATAAGTCTGGACCAGGCAAACCAGTCACTGAAGGCTTGAGCAAGGATACAGGCCATCAGAACACACTAACAATCAACCAAGTCCTGACCCCCTTCAGTCATCTGAACAAGACATTCGGTTCCTAAACAACATGGATTTCAAGTGATTTCGGTAGACTGCAGGATTTGCAAAGCATGTATACCGCCAACTGGGCATCGACGGATATTTGGCAAATTCTTTCAGGTTTTTAATCAAGGTGCTCACGTGATTTTATGCACTTCGCGGGGTAAGACCCGTTTTATTACAATATAGATCTTGATTATTGAGCAGAGCTCTGTACTGGGGGCCATCATATTGTTTGAAGTAAATGAAAGTGATAGGAGAGGGAATCTGATTGGTCAATGGGAGGAACATAGAGGGGACATAACTCGTAATAGCCATTGGTGGCGCTACCATCGAGCCTGGAAATCCCAGTCTTGTTCGGCAAGGGTGGAAACTGGAAATTTATAGTCAGTTAACGCCCTTGCCCAGGGAAGATGCGCATACAAGGCGCATACAAGCACGGGACACTTGGGACCCATCCTCCAAAAGCCAGTTTGGGAAATCGTTGTACTGGTGTAGGGAATAGAATCCTGGCCGTCGGGGGTTACCAGCAAGGGCTTTAACCACAAGCCTAGACCACCGCCCCTGCCTTTTTATTGTGTCAATCAGTTAAAGGGTGACAATGTAAATAATTGTTTGATCCACTGGACTAACGCATTGGCACATTTTAGTTCCAACATTTAGGCATAGCTTCAGGAAACAAATTCCGTGTTTTTTTGTAATTTGCATTTTAGATAAAAGGTTTTCTATTCCAGGGATTTGACATACAACAAAATCGCCTGTTCTTGTGAATTCCTGAAATTGTCAAAGAAACTGCTACAATCAAAGATTATCTTGTTTGATTCTACGAAATGCTCCTCAAAAGTTATCAAAGGCTGCTGTGAGTATTCTGTGTAAAACTCATGCACTCAGAGAATTCAACTAATGTTCGATATGAGTTATGAATTTATTTGTCAGGAGTGGTGGAGTGGTGGAGCCGTCATATAGCAGGAATATTGCTGAATGTGGCGTTAAACAACCAGCCAACCAACCAACCTTAATAATACCAGAAGTTGTGAAACATATGTACTTAACCAAGGGACTGTGGTATGGAATGTAACGACCATCGGTAATATTCATACCATCTTTCTTTTCCATGAATGAAATGCACATCTTGGTGAATATATATTACAAATAAATTAAGCCACTAAATGTGCAGCAACACATAGTGGTAGGAGGAGATGTGAATGTTACCTTTGTTTTCAGACACTGGTCAGTATAACAGGGCACAGCTTGTCAGGAACAGCGGCAGTTACTTCCACGTAGTGGGGGCAGTGTTCAACATAGGATCAACCGGATGGCGTCGAAGATTTGACCGTCATTATATCAAACTGAGGAACATTTTAACCAGAATTGTTGACTCCGGTACTCGTCACTTCTATCTGGTCAGGCTTATTAGAATTATACGTAACACAGAATGGAGAATGGACAGTAAAGCTTTGAAAGAGGAGCGAAGTCCTGATAGAAATGATGCTCCGAAACGTACCAATGCCACCTCAATAATTGGTAGGTAGTCATTTTCTTCAGTAATTTTTATTCAGTAAATTAATTCCTTTCGATAAAGTAAGATGATGTTTTTATATGCTAATAGACTGATGATGCAAACAGATAGTATACATCATACTCATAGTTCCCAAATGAAAGGTTAAAGGTCAGGGCGGGTGTTTGCACCGTTTTAGAGTGTTTCTTTTCAAACACAAAATGTCCTCAATATTATAGTTAGTTTACCTTTAGGCCCGGCTCATATTGGAGACAAGCTCTCCTCGTTTCTTCTGTGGCCAGAATGGACCGTTTAGCCGAGTAAACTTTGTATTTAAATGTAATGGGGAATAATCATTAGCAATTGGTTTTTATGTGCAGAGCTCATAAACATTACCTTACCTCCCGGACCTTGATAGAGGGATGACAGTATATTATCGATACAATGAGTAGGAGAGCGCCTCCTAAACCACAATATATTTGAGTATTTATGCTTCCTTACAGAGATAAACAAGTACGTCTTTCAGGTAAGTACCACTGTATGTTATGGACTGATTCTTGTAATTGTTTCCAACTATGGGGAGGGGGATTCAGAGGGAACCAGGTGAGGGTCATAAAAAATATGACAGTCTCAAGGGAAGGGTCATAAAACATATTACATAATACACATAATATTTTGGAAGGGTCATGTAAAATAGACATTTTATAATGAGTGCATTTTGTCTTTTCGGGGAGGGTCAGGAAAAAACATGTACAGGTGTGTAATCCGAACATATGACAAGCATTAGGGAAGGGTCACTTTTCACAGTACAATTAGTGCTGCATTGTGCTTCAAAACCTCTGACCCTCCAACCCCTAATAAATGACCAGTCCCCTATCTGCTTTGCGAAGATGCTTTTGATGGAATCAGTAATACAGGTCGTAATTGTTCGGACAACCCCTATTAACAATTTCGAGGTTACATGATGAGAAAACACATTTCGACTGTCAATGTTCTGATCTGTTAAGCAACGCTCGGATTGGTCGATGAAATGTTGTTCTGACGTGACCCGTAATGGGATGTCCTCAGATCTAGGGGAAAGTTCACTGAAAGACATTTTGTATTCAGCTGAAATTTTCTATCAAAGTTTCAACATCAAGGGTCTGGTCAATGTTATAGTATACGATGATAGGAATTTACTAAATATAGAAGATGATACCCGATGTTGTCCTATACTATGACATACAGTTTTATAGGGAGTGTTCACACTTCCTTACTCACTGGCGCTTACTTGAGTGGATTGCTTAGCCTGGCTTGGTGAGTGAGTGGGTGAGTGAGTTGGGTTTTAACGCCGCTTTCAACAGTTTTCCAGTTATATCACGGCGTGTCAGCTTAATGTGGGAGGAAAGCCCGAAGTGATGCAGGTCCTAGACGTTTACCACTTGTGAAACCCACGAGCACCGGTATGGTGCTGACAAACCAAGAAACAATCTGGGTAAACCGGGATTCGAACCCACAATCATAGGTTTCTGGCGTTGCCAAGGGGCGCAACTCTGCACAGCGAATTGCGGCACCTTAGACGACTGGGCCACCCATGCTCCCCGACTTGGTTGGTAGCGTCGCGTTGTACCACAACGAAGTGGATCATTGCTCATGATACTGATTTTCTGATTGTCTGAGCCACACTCGATTGTATACAGGCCGCCGTCCTTTGGCAGATGTATTGCTGGAGGGCAGCACCGGAAGAGAAGAACACCTGGTGTCGTCACTGATTTTCAGTGAGCCATTAAAAAAAATAATCATCACTATTTTGCCTTTACGTCCGATGGAATCTGTTTGGCAGATAATCGAATGTGCTCTGTTGTTGACGTTTTGAATTCAATTTGAATTAAAAGTGATTTATTTTCATTAATCATTCAAGGAATGTTAAAATCAATCAATCTTGTATCCGCGGCATCAGAATGTAAGTCGAGAAGAGGCAGAACCAAGAATGGTCAATTTCGTCATCTTCAGCAGCATCATCGGCGCCACCGTCCTTGGCACCCTCGTCGGTCTCATCTGCAAGGTAGGTTAGTAAACCACTGTCACCGTGGGAGTCCCGGCTGGAAAGCCATCCGTTCTTGCCTTAAGAGGCGACTAAATGGAAGGGATGGTCTCTCTGTGGCTTTGTTGATTTCCTGTTTTTGTGCTCCGACGACGTGGACCCTTGCTCATAATATCGACCACTGGTACATATTCTGTTATTTACAAGGCGCCTTGATATAGCTGGAATATTGATGACTCAGCCGTGAACATATTTCCCATTCATTCACCCAGAATGTCTTCGTTATTACAGAGTATAAGAATAAACTTACCTTGGTTTCCAGTTGGACTCAGACCGACGCACCATGCTCAAGACCCGTCCTATGGGTTACGTTGACCCCCAACTACAGACCCGGATCTGGAGCTGGCAGTGAGTAGTTCACCCATATCCTACTCCATGTCGCCGTAATATCGCGATACACTATACACGAAACCTATATTGTCATTTACCCCACCCTGTGCTCTAGTAGTGGGTGAGTATAGTTTTGCGCCGCTTTTAGTAATATTCCCGCATATCACAGCGTTGGACACCAGAAAATGGCTTTACACGTTGTACCCATATGAGAATCAAACCCGGGTCTTCTTCGTGAAACTTTAACCTCTAGGCTACCCGGCCGCTCCGTGCTCAACATCACGCTCCCGTTCCACAAAGCGACGGCACCCTATGACGATCTTAACTCCCATACTTAATCGCATAGCTTTGTGGAATAGGACAGGACCCTGGTGGTCAGACTGTGTGACCTGGTTGATAGTGTGTATTCCCTTGCCTGGTGGTTAAACTGTGTGACCTGGTTGATAGTGTGTATTCCCTTGCCTGGTGGTCAAACTGTGTGACCTGGCTGATAGTGTGTATTCCCTTGCCTGGTGGTCAAACTGTGTGACCTGGTTGATAGTGTGTATTCCTCTGCCTGGTGGTCAAACTGTGTGACCTGGTTGAAAGTGTGTATTCCCTTGCCTGGTTGTCAAACTGTGTGACCTGGTTGATAGCCCCTTGTCTTGAATATTACGGCGTAAAACGCCATTCAATCAAGTTAATTACATAAGACATATTAAAAATAAATAATAAATCAATTCATCAGGTATTTGAGAGTTTTTAAATATGAACTGTCACAAACCAACGGATATTTCCCAGTTTACTGGCAGTGTTCCAGACGCCTGACACAGGGTAGAATATGTCCCAAGCATCCCATTGTTGGTGGTAAGGGGTAACTGAATTGGGAACGATGTGGTCTCCGAGTTAGAATTGGTCCCCGGGACCCTGTGCTGGTCCAAAGGGGGACTTGATGGAAAGGGTGGTCAGGCTCGGGGACTTGGTTGCGGGCGTGTGATTTCTCATTACATCAGTCACTGGATTGTCTGGTCCCGACGCCATCATTTACATCGTGAGGCTCGTATATCTGGAATATTGCGGTGTTCATTGACCTTAATACACGGATCGTTTTGTATGGATAAGAGTACCGTTCACATAAAGAAGATCTGGGTAAAAATTGGTCTTCAGCAACCCATGTTTGTCGTAAGAGGCGGCTAACGGGATCAGGTGGTCAGGCTCACTGGCTTGGTTGATGCATGTCATCATATCCAAACTGTCTGGATCGATGCTTACGATGTCAATCACTGGATTGTCTGGCCCAGAGTCGATTATTTACAGACGCCTCTATAAATCTGGAAAATTGCTGATTTTGTGGAACAGGGGTCAGTACAGACACCATGAACGAGTATTTGTGGTCAGCGTATCTCCTCATCCGTTGACCGCCTCCGTGGTCTAGTGGTAGAGCGTCCGCCCGGAGAGCGGAAGGTCCGGGGTTCGATCCCCGGCCGCGTCATACCAAAAGACGTTAAAAGATGGTACTTGTTGTTACCATGTCTGGCGCTCGGCATTAAGGGGCTAAAACAAGGACTGGTCGGCTCTGAGTCAGTATACTGTGTCTGAGTGGGGTATTCATGTTAAACTGCGGCATGGTATCTCAGTGAGCTAGCACTATAAATCGGCATCAGTCCGGACTAGTACAAGCAGCCACACAAACACACACACGTACATGCACGTCGCTATATAAGTGCAATAATCTTGGACGCGACGTTAAACCCCATTTCACCTCACCTCCTCATCCGTTCGTCGTGTAATATCAAGTTTTTATGTGTCACTGCTGGGGTCCGCACGGATCGACCGGTTAGAAAAGTCTGTCAATGTGATCTGTAGAATTTGCAGCGCACGTCTCAATCTCCTACTGGTTACAGATCCTAAAATATTTTCAATATATCCATACCAATCTCTTTCACAATAACTTACCTTCAAATACCTACACGTTTATTCGTCGAAAGTGACAGTGAATAAGGATTCCACATCGAAAAACAAACCCTTGTGGTCGCCGTTGTCCAAAATCCGTACGTAAGTTTTGTTTTGAGGGGATGCAGTAACCGTGGCTACATCAACGAGTAACATCAGCTTGAGTTGTTTAACTCTTTTTGCAGTAATTTTCTCAAAAAGCTGCAGTTGTACAAGCGTGAGAAGGCTGAAGAGGCATCTCGCGTAAACGGCAATCCTCAGGTGACAGGACGTCTATTTGTCAAGCAGTCCAAGGTCGAACCCAAAGGGGAAATTCAAGTGCAGGTATGTTTCAGCACGTCGAAAAGCCATACTACTGTGTTATATAACATGTGGGTGCACCTCTCGCCCATTTTATTGAATTAAATACGGTAAACATCAGTCGACTCTATATCGTAATGTAATACATAGATAGTCGATCTGTGTCACATGATTGAACGCGAGACTATAATATATCACGTGTAGATCACATTTGTACGGAAGCCTTTTAGGGCCATTTGTTTTTTTATTTTCTTTCGATACTATCTTGAAATTTCAAGATACTAAGTTGAAATTTCAAGATACTAAGTTGAAATTTCAAGATACTATCTTGAAATTTCAACTTCTGTATCTTATCTTGAAATTTCAACTTAGTATCTTGAAATTTCCAGATACTATCGAAAAAAACAATAAAAACAAATGGCCCTAAAAGGCTTCCGTACATTTGCCTGTACTTCTCGTAAATTTGGGGGCATGGGTAGCCCAGTCGACGAAGGCGCTGCAATTCGTTGTGCGGAGTTGCGTCCCTTTGGCACACCAGAAACATATGATCGTGAGTTCGTTTACACCTTTGAACCGTATTCCAATTATATCACGGCGTGTCAGCTTAATTAGGGAGGAAGCCAAGAGTGATACTGGTATCAGATGTTTATCCATTTGGGGAAACCCTCGAGCATGGGTATAGTGCTGACATCCTAGAAACATAATCGGGACGGACAGGGATTCGAAGTTTTCTGGCGCGCTCAAGGGACGCAACTCTGGGCCATCCGTGCCCTTAAAACTGTCTGAGATAAAACTGCCGGTCACAGCGTCAATTCTTGATGAGCCAGCCTCACAGGTAGACCCCGGTGATCAGGTGCCCATGTTGCGGGTAGATACAGGCATGCTGTACTGTATACACGAGTTATAATGCCTCAGTACAGTTTATATCAATGTACATTAATGAATAAAAATACTTGCTAAACTCGTTGTACATAACACAAGCAATACATTTTTAACCATGAGTTCTTCACGATCATGTCAGGATGCACAGAACCACCACCCGTTTGTCACGCTACATTAAATGTAAAACATTTTGCTTTTTATCAACTACGAGGTAGGCGGATTCGGGACATTAGGATCAGATCAAGCGTCACCACACACATCCAGTTCGCGTAAATTCAATACAATTGTATTCGGTAAACTACGTCATATTTTACAGATCAATGTTAATGATCAAGTACAGGGACTTTGACTGAACTCACTGACAAGGAACAGATATGTATTCAATAAAAATGTTTGCAGAAGAAAACACCCTTAATATATTATGAAGTTTCTACTAGGTTTGTTCGTTGTGTATCACCCCAATCAACAAAAATCAATATTACAAATTTGAGTCATTTAAGAATATTAATGAAATTCTGTTTCTTTGAACTTTATCATCCGAATCTCCCTTCATACAATAGATACATCGAACTAAGATGCAATTATAGATAGAGGTAGCGATGCCAACATAACATGCCAGGAATTTATCGTTAATATAATTGCTATGGAGACTTGTCATGTGTGAATATTTTTTTCACCTTCCTCATTGTCGAATCGCATCGATACGTCACCATTGTCCTATTATCTGCATGTTGGTAACATGATCACAGCCTTCGAAATTCACGCTAGTCCGCTAGCCCGAGACGAGTAAATTATGCTAAGGACAAGTAAAAATCCAATGATAGTCCTCATTGACTAATAGCATTTAAGGTCTATAAATTCTGTACAGTTGTCAATGCTTCAAGTTTGCTGCAAAACAGAACTGAATAAAACTGAAGCAAATATAAACATAGGAAACAGTTGTGTCTCGTTCACGCAGGACTAGACACATACTCCGAGGACTAGTGAAATAAGACCTCAGGACTAAGTCTTGAAAGTCGAATTTCTAAGGCTGTGATACCATTCCGCATGTGCAATTGGATCAGATGACAAGTATAGCTGAGTGTGAGATGTGGGGAAAAATGTCCATTGTATTTCCGTCGTCCATTCATAGTCTAAAACAGAATTGTGGTATTTGCAACACAAGAGGCTACATTGCCGAACTTAGTGCTTCATCTACAAATCACCGTTGAGCGCTTTAAGTTCATGAACTTGCTCCAGTTTTTTGTGTGCTTTTTTTCACCGGCATCATGTCAGTTGAGCCTGGTGGACATTCATGAAACCCTCGACTTCGTGTCTAGCCTAGGATGCATGTTGACCAGTTCCTGTCTTGTACACTTGTGGAGACGGCTGATGCTCTTGAATGCCATCTATGTTGTCTACGTTTTCATACCCAGCAGTATATATTCATCAGCAGAATATATTGTGACTTCATGTCACAGAGACGTAGCCCCAGTGTGCGGTTTTAAACTTGTCCTAACCATACTTTTAGAGATCCAGCAGCTCACCTCTCTTGTGATAAATAAATTTGACTTCTTTTACATAGCGCCGTGTGTGTGTGTGTTAGTTCGTTAGTTAGTTAGTGTGTGTTAGTGTTAGTGTTAGTGTGTGTGTGTGTGTGTATGTAAGTGTTAGTGTGTGTGTGTGTTAGTGTGTGTGCGTGTGCGTGTGCGTGTGCGTGTGCGTGTGTGTACAAGTCAAGACTAATGCCGTTTTTTTTAGTTCCAGCCCACTGAGATACATAGCCGCAGTTTTACATGAGTACCCCACTCAGATACAGTATGCTGATTTCCAGGCAACCAGTTCTTGTTTTATCCTCAGGTAGAAAGCAGCAAGTATCATCTTTTAACGTATTTTGATATGATGCGGCCGGGATCGAACTACCCACCTTCCTTCTGCAGAAACTCTATCCACTACACCACTGAGGCCATTGCGTTGCCTTTCAACAATTCTACCCTAAGTTTTGTTGTGATAGATTGAGTCTTCATGAAATTATTTTCCAGTTCTGAACATTTTGTGATATTGCGGGAATATTGCTGAAAGTTGTTACATGTGTTATTCAGGAGAATGGTCCGGCTGCAGCAGTTACCTCCCTTACAAAGATGGTTGCACAACAACCGTTTCAGTCCTTCAGTCACACACAGCTTGACGGGTCGTCACGTGCTCTGTTACATGGAAGTAGATCAAGCTTAGGTTCCCAAAGATTTGAACCCAAGGGACTCAGCTCTCGGGAACCAAGTTCTGATGCGCTGTGTGGCCAGGCTTCTCGCTCTAAACAATCAGTCGGTGCAATGGAGGTGATTATAAGGTCATTTACGACCTCACTGTACAACATCACAATACAACTTGAATACATTATCACTGTACAACTTGAATACATTATCACTGTACAACTTGAATACATTATCACTGTACAACTTGAATACATTATCACTATACAACTTGAATACATTATCACTATACAACTTGAATACATTATCACTATACAACTTGAATACATTATCAGTGTACAACTTGAATACATTATCAGTGTACAACTTGAATACATTATCAGTGTACAACTTGAATACATTATCACTGTACAACTTGAATACATTATCACTATACAACTTGAATACATTATCACTATACAACTTGAATACATTATCACTATACAACTTGAATACATTATCACTATACAACTTGAATACATTATCACTGTACAACTTGAATACATTATCACTATACAACTTGAATACATTATCACTGTACAACTTGAATACATTATCACTGTACAACTTGAATACATTATCAGTGTACAACTTGAATACATTATCACTGTACAACTTGAATACATTATCACTATACAACTTGAATACATTATCACTATACAACTTGAATACATTATCACTGTACAACTTGAATACATTATCACTATACAACTTGAATACATTATCACTATACAACTTGAATACATTATCACTGTACAACTTGAATACATTATCACTATACAACTTGAATACATTATCACTATACAACTTGAATACATTATCACTGTACAACTTGAATACATTATCACTGTACAACTTGAATACATTATCACTATACAACTTGAATACATTATCAGTATACAACTTGAATACATTATCACTACAACATCTCAATACAATATGACTTTAACACATCACTATACAGCGTCAATACAACACACGACAACGTCACAATGCAATATCACTTTAACACATTACTATAAAACACTATATAACGTCAATTCAACATCATTGACTTGGTTGATCATGCATGTCATCGTATCCCAGTTGCGTGGATCGATGCCCATGATGTAAGTCACTGGATTGTCTGGTCCAGAGCCGCCTCCGTGGTCTTGTGGTAGAGCGTCCGCCCGCAGAGCGGGAGGTCCGGGGTTCGATCCCCGGCCGCGTCATACCCAAAGACGTTAAAAGATGGTACTTGTTGTTACCATGTCTGGCGCTCGACATTAAGGGGCTAAAACAAGGACTGGTCGGCTCGGAGTCAGTATACTGTGTCTGAGTGGGGTATTCATGTTAAACTGCGCCATGGTATCTCAGTGAGCTAGCACTATAAATCGGCATCAGTCCGGACTAGTACAAGCAGCCACAGACACACACGTGCATGCACGTCGCTATATAAGTGCAATAATCTTGGACGCGACGTTAAACCCAATTTCACCTCACCTCACCTCTGGTCCAGACTCGATTATTTACAGACCGCCGTCATGTAGCTGGAATGTTGCTGAATGTGGCGTTAAACAACAACCAAACAAACACAACGGTACATGTCCAATAATCTATTACCTTGATTGATACTGACAAGAACCTTGTTTTTCAGGAACTTGAAATTCCAATTATTGCTCAAAGTAGTCCGTCAACCGGCGGAGGAAATAGCGATGAAAGCATCCCGGCTTCAGTTGAGGACAACACATAATATCGACGAATATCCGAATCCTGGACGTCTCACAGTAAACGTGATTTCATATTCCCGTGAGAGTAGTAGACTCGCAACGTCCCTGATAACCTTTACCGAGGATTAGTTTTCCTGATCGTGTGGTAATAAAATATGTTGATAATGACATGAATTACAGATATAAAGTCAGGGGCAAACAAGATGTACCAAGTTTGTTTTATATGTGAATGAAAGAACCGTAGAAGTCTGGGGTATTAAATGAATTAATCTTTCCAACCACACAACCTCGACATGCTGGAAATGTTGTACATTTATGCCGAAAAGAAGCAGATATATTGATATTCAAAGATAAGATATTTGTCTTAGATACTCATCAGCTGTTGTGTGTTATGCGAATTACTCTCTGTTTTTTAAAAGTTTTAAATCAAATTATATTTAAAGAAATAAAACCATGCAGAAGTATGCTTTAAGTGCTGACTAAGCGCCATTTTGGGGATATAATATCAACTGAAAATCAAACATTATGAAATCCCCTGAGAGGTATAGTTTATAACAAACTCAGTTTATAACAAACCTAAGACTATGTCTAGCGTAGGGTATATGCAACCTACACATCTTCACTGTCATGCTAGAAATCCTACTAGTCCTCATGATACCTTAACTATTGGCCAGTTTGGCAAGGACTACAGGGCTAGTGCCAATTTCTAACGCTGCAAGCATAGTCGCCTTTTACGACAAGCATGGGTTGCTGAAGACCTATTCTAACTCGGATCTTCACGTCGTTGAGGGAAGTGGGCGCCCCCTGTTCGTTACTGTAGGGCCTAGGTGGCCCAGGTGAAGTTTTAACAGAATTCTATTGTAGAAATATATCCTCGGGTGTAAAAACATGAAGGAGTGAGTATATGAGAGTGCTTTAACGCCGCTTTGAACAGCATTTTAGTTATATCACAGGCGTGTCAGCTTGACCTGGGAGGAAAACCCGAATTGAACCTTGTGTCTCTAGTTGTTAAAAAAAGGCTTCAAATATATCTGGTAGCTGTCTTGAGTTTTATCAAAATGTTTATTCCATTTGTTTTACGAATTTGGTGTAGTTTCTTTGGACAAAAACTTGAGAACCCTTTTGAAATCCAAGTTTGAAATGTTTTCAACTTTTGAATAAGATAAAGATTTCAAAATAAAATATTTCTTGATAGCTTATATAACTTCAAAGTACAGTGAAAAGGAAGTCTCAATGCCTACCCTTAATCTAAAATCAGCTAAGGGTAGGTAATCTCCTGTTTATTAAGAAAAGCCATGATTTGACTTACACCTTTGTCAAACCAGTGGGAATGAAAGAAAGTAATATTAGGATTATAGAATATTGGGTCAGTAATAAATTCACCAAAGCTCAAAGGATATACTTTGAAAGAAAATTTACTGAATGACTCTGAACAGTCTTTCTAAAAGCTATTTTTCAATCTTTCCAGTTTTTTCCCTGAAAATCAGATCTCATGTAAAGAAAAAAAAAACTTTCCTGAGACGAGAAGAAAGGATTTGTCCATGTATTGTCAAGATTCATAGCTGCCAATTTTCTAATCCACGTCAATTTCAGGGACTGAACAAAATTAGCAATATCAGTCCTTTATGAAGAGAATATTAGAAGAAGTGGGAATCTCGCCGGAAAGTGCGTAGTAAATTAATCAGCGGGGAAAACCATGGTACATTAACTCAGTGAAATTGGTGTAGCAGCACTGACATCATGCATATTTCATCCCCCAGTTCACAAGAACATCCAACCTGCGAATAACCATTGCAATGATTACAGTGTCCAACATTGTGAGCTCAGTAATATGAATTCTTCAATTTAACGCTCGTCGTGACCTTGTCCTTCCCGTTGAGTCACAGCGTCGGGCTCAATCTACGTACACTCGGCGCGTCTTTGTGAATCCCCCTTTGTCTCCCCCGATGTGTTGTGGAACAATAAACATTTACTTCAGTGGTGAGCACAGTGATTTCTCCACTGTGAAGTTATAGGGGGCGGTGGGGTAGCCAACTTGTAAAAGCGTTCGCTTGTTACCAGAAGACCCGGGTTCGATTCCCCACATGGATAAAACGCGTAAAGCCCATTTTTCGTGATATTGCTGGAATATTGCTAAAAGCGGCGTAAAACTATACTCACTCACTCTGAAGTTATAAAGTGTGGGAACGGGATCTACTGACAACAACAATGTTATATCGGTGCACTACGGAAGCGTAGTAGGGCCACGGTGAAATATCGTTTTGTCTAAGTATCTCGTACGTAGGACTTACTATCTCGTACGTAGGACTTACTATCTCCTACGTAGGACTTACTTTCTCGTACGTAGGACTTACTGTGTCCTACGTAGGACTTACTATCTTCTACGTAGGACTTACTATCTCCTACGTAGGACCTAGTGTGGCCTTGAATTACTATCTCCTACGTAGGACTTAGTATGGACTAGAATAACTATCTCCTACGTAGGACTTAATATCTCCTACGTAGGACTTACTATCTCCTACGTAGGACTTTCTGTCTCTTACGTAGGACTTACTATCTCCTATGTAGGACCTAGTGTGGCCTGGAATTACTAGCTCCTACGTAGGACTTAGTATGGACTAGAATAACTATCTCCTACGTAGGACTTACTATCTCCTACGTAGGACCTAGTATGGCCGAGAATTACTATCTCCTACGTGGGACTTAGTATGGACTAGAATAACTATATCCTACGTAGGACTTAATATCTCCTACGTAGGACTTATTATCTCCTACGTAGGAGATATTAAGTCCTACGTAGGAGATACTAAGTCCTACGTAGGAGATACTAGTGAGTGAGTGAGTGAGTTGGGTTTAACGCCGCTTTTATCAGTATTCCAGTTATATCGCGGCGAGTCAGCTTAATGTGGGAGGAAAGCCCGAACTGATGCAGGTCTCAGACGTTTACCACTTCGGTGAAACCCACGAGCACGGGTATGGTGCTGACAAACCTAGAAACATAATCGGGGCGAACCGGGATTCGAACCCACAATCATAGGTTTTTAGATGCAAGACACATGTAACATAAAATATTATTTCTGAGGGATTCTTTGACGAAGAACTTGAAATCATACGCGCATTCTGATTGGTTTGTCGTATTTTCGCACATAACATTCATCGATAGGGGGACGAGTCTTCTTGCAGGTTACGGAAAGGGGCGAGTGGTGACGAATGGAGTCGCTATTCGGCTTGTCCCGGAATAACACGAGTTGGTCACGAATGAGGAGATACTTAGACAAAAGAAAAAATCACCGTGGCCCTACTACGCTTCCGTGGTGCACTTGCGGTGTTGGTGACTGTGTGGGTTTGCTTGTACTCGTCCGGACTAATGCCTGTTTCATAGTGCTTGCCCACTGAGATATCATGCCGCAGTGTAACATGAATACCCCACTCAGACAGAGTATACTGGATGCCAGCTATGGCGGACTTCATTAACTCACTCACTCAATCACAATATCCACAATCAATTTTATCAAACGCTGCGTTGTATGACATGAAGGCAATTTAGATGATTTCTGGAAAATTAAAAATGTGAAAGTATAAAGTTCAAGTGACATTTATTAATTTTTTCAAGTTACAAAAGATACAAACGAATGGTAAATAATGGATTTGATTTCGTCTCAGAAGGCGTCTGTCTTTCAGCTGCTCTTGCAGGAACAGTAGCCCGGGACGTAGAACCAGTCAAACTCCGGGGGGAATAGGGGTCCGCTGAGTGGGTACACCAGCAGGCAGATTGCGATGTTCTCCAGCCGGCACTTTCCGAGGCAGTTCCCAGGCCTAGTGTGACGGGGAAAACACATAATGTATTTCTACATATAAATTGTCATCGCCAGAGAATAACCAGTCGGCTTATTATCCACGGAAACAGATTCCATTGGGCGTATAAAATAAATAAACACACGCACGCACGCACGCACGCACGCACGCACGCACGCACACACAAAATAGTCCTGATATGTGTGCTTGTCAAAACAAGATCTTTCGCCGCTCAACGTCTCTTTAGGGAATGACTTCGTTAAAGTTTTCAGTACACCTTTTTTCACAAGCGCAACTATCGGGACTTTGTTATTGTATACTTAATGCTCATACACCTGAAGAAATCACTTCTATAGTTTACAGCTATAAATGTATATTTATATTTGTATTTGAGCCTGATCACCCGATCCTTTAAGTCAGCTCTTACGACCAACATAGGGGACCTATTCTAACCCTGAAGACCCAAGGCGACACGTTTTCAGTACCCATCAACCCCTCGTGTCCATATATGGTCATCCGTGAACATCCGGTTTAGAATCGATCTTCAGCAACCCATGCTTGTCGTAAGAGGCGACTAACGGAATATGGTGGTCAGGCTCGCTGACTTGGATGATGCATGTCATAGTATTCCTATTGCGTAAATACGAGGGCTGGCTGAAAAGTTCTAAGCCTAAGTGGGATATCTCAATCGGATTGACACAAACTTTTGCCACCAACAAGTACAATCATTTAATGAATCATAGACATAAGAACTGCAACTGTAGTGTTATTATTGTCTTTGTACCAGACCATCTTGTGAACCTACCCATTGAAATCACCAGAAATGGACAAAACTGGCTATAGGGCAGTCATCAAGTACCTCTAACTGAAAGGGCTAACTCCAACACAGATACATGCTGACATGGTCTCCACTTTAGGGGATAATGTCCCTTCCTTCTCCACTGTAAAGAAGTGGGCTGCGGAATTCAAGCGTGGCAGAGAGAGCCTTGACGATGACCCGCGTCCAGGAAGGCCTTCAAAAGCAACCATTCCGGAAAACATTACCCGGATCGTGACATGGCGATGGCTGATCGACGATTGACCACTCGACGTATTGCCAGTGTTGTGGGCATCTCTCATGAGAGGGTTGAGCACATCATCAACGAGTTGGGAATGACAAAAGTTTCTGCAAGATGGGTGCCAAAGCTCTTGACAGCGGATCAGATTCCTGACATCCCCTGACAATTTATGTCGTTTTGAAGCAGATCCCGATGATTTTTTGGCCCGATTTGTAACCATGGATGAAACCTGGATTCATCACTTTCAACCAGAAACCAAAATTCAGTCTAAACAATGGGGAATGCTCACTAAAAGAGTCCTGTTCCACCAAGACAATGCTCCTGTTCACAAATCGGTGGTTGCCATGTCAACGATCCATGATTGTGGCTTCGAACTCATTGACCATCCCACTTCATCACCCGATTTGGCCCCGTCAGACTTCCACCTGTTTCCTAAAATGAAAAAGGAACTAGCCGGTCGCCATATTCCTTGTAATTATGACGTCATTTCCGCTGTGAATGACTTTTTTAGGGTGGCTTAAGAAAATCTCTTCTTGACCGTCATCAAGGCCTTGCAGCATCGCTGGCAAAAGTGTGTAAATCTGGAAGGGGACTATGTGGAGAAATAAATGAAAACCATCGACTTGGTACGGGTCTTTCACAGTTAGGCTTAGAACTTTTCAGCCAGCCCTCGTAGCTCATAATATCAATCACTGGATTGTCTGGTCCAGATTCGATTATTTACAGTTAGTGAGTTAAAATATATGGCATTATTTGAGCCATATAGCGATACATGGAATATTGCTGAGTGCGGCGTTAAACAACAAAAAAACAAAATCAGTTGGATGGTGTGTGTAAATGAGTAAGTGAACGCTGGTTTCTGCTGACTACTCACCCACATCGAGCGTTGGGGTACCACTGAAACCTTGGGGGGGCGGCGAGGGGCAGGTGCATGATGGTTCTCCACTGTCCCCTTGTATTCTTCTTAGTCTTCTTCTTATCATAATACATCACACTAAAAGACAAGGGTGGGTACATAAGTGATTAGGGTTTAATGCTGCATTTAGAAATGTACGTCTCACAACGTATATACCAAGGTGAAGGAATCGGATATGCAGTTGTGTAACTGATAATAAACTATACATCTACGAGAATGAAATAGTAAAGTATTTGTACAAGTAACACTTGTCCCCAACTTGATTAAAAGTGATGCAGGTCTCAGACGTTTACCACTTCGGTGAAACCCACGAGCACGGGTATGGTTGTAAGACGGAGAAATCATTATGTTAACTTAATTATCTTCAGTTGTAAGACGGAGAAATCATTATGTTAACTTAAATATCTTCAGTTGTAAGACGGAGAAATCATTATGTTAACTTAATTATCTTCAGTTGTAATACGGAGAAATCATAATGTTAACTTAATAATCTTCAGTTGTAAGACGGAGAAATCATTATGTTAACTTAATTATCTTCAGTTGTAAGACGGAGAAATCATAATGTTAACTTAATAATCTTCAGTTGTAAGACGGAGAAATCATTATGTTAACTTAATAATCTTCAGTTGTAAGACGGAGAAATCATTATGTTAACTTAATTATCTTCAGTTGTAAGACAGAGAAATCATTATGTTAACTTAATTATCTTCAATTGTAATACGGAGAAATCATTATGTTAACTTAATAATCTTCAGTTGTAAGACGGAGAAATCATTATGTTAACTTAATTATCTTCAGTTGTAATACGGAGAAATCATTATGTTAACTTAATTATCTTCAGTTGTAAGACAGAGAAATCATTATGTTAACTTAATAATCTTCAGTTGTAAGACGGAGAAATCATTATGTTAACTTAATTATCTTCAGTTGTAAGACGGAGAAATCATTATGTTAACTTAATAATCTTCAGTTGTAATCAACATTAACAATAGATGGTACGGTCTTACGGTATATATTTGAGTTGACAGATATAAGAGTGAGTGAGTTGGGTTTAACGCCGCTTTTAACATTATTCCATTTATATCACGGCATGTCAGCTTAATGTGGAAGGAAAGCCCGAAGAGATGCAGGTCTCAGGCGTTAACCGCCACGGTGAAACCCACGAGCACGGGTATGGTGCTGACAAACCTAGAAACATAATCGGGGCGAACCGGGATTGACACCCACAATCATAGGTTTCTGGTGTGCCCAAGGGACGCAACTCTGCACAGCGAATCGCGGCGCCTTAGACGACTGGGCCACACGTGCCCCCGACAGATATAAGAACTCAAACAAGGCCCTTTCGTTTATCTGACATAAAAGTGACGAATAGTGTATTGGATAACGTACGTCGGACAACACTGGTCGTAGTCGTGCCCCATAGAGTCAGACCATCTGTTCGACAGCAACGCAGGCGCCTTCCGTTGTGAGACAACACCCCATTCAGATTTGTGCTCTTCCCGCCATGTCTGCTCCTGTCTCTCAATCTGCTCCTTGGTGTGGAAGAGTTTGCCATAGAACCTACTGATCAGCTTGTCGTAGTCGGCAGATGAGTTCCAAGTGGTACAAGGCTCATCCAGCTTGACGTCAGCTCCGTCAAGAGTAGGTGCGTTCGCTGTCGTAGAAGTATCCTGGGAGTGGACACATGTCGCTATGGCAACAAGGAGGAAGCTTGTGTATGTACACATTGTCGTCATCTGGAAATCATAACCCTCAAGCAGAGGAAACTCTTTAAGTGACAACTAGTTTGGTCAAGGAGGGTGCTCTCACAAAACGAACAAGATTTTCCAATATAATCTCAGCTGCTACAGGCTAGTGTCATCAACAACAGAGTACACAACAATAGGTGTGTTTTAACCTACACGTAAATGTTGCCTGAACTTTGTCTAGAATAGCTAAGATCTTACCTAGTACCTGGGCCTCGAACCATATACTTCGTCCCCACGTATTCAAGAAACAAAATAAGTGGATAAGCTTGTTTGTTGAAGAGACATACGTTTTACAATGTGTCTGTCAGTTTCTATCACAACAATCCACTCACGGCAAAGTAAACAAACAGGAAGCGGATTGATACCAGGATTAGCCGCAGGCAAATACTTATCTGAGTACACAACCCTTTGGTATTCTGAATATGTGAAAGTGCGACCATGCATGGCTGTAACACAAACGTTCAAATGCTCTCTCTGTCTCTCATCCCCCACTCCTTTCTCTCCTCACTCTCTCCTCTCTCTCACTCATTCTCTCGCCCTCACTCTCTCTATCTCACTCTCTCTCTCTATTTCTCTTTCTCTCTCACTCTCTCTCTCTATTTCTCTTTCTGTCTTAAGCTCAGCTCTCTCCCTCATTACCCCTCTATCCATCTCTACAGCAAATGTACACACAGTAGTATTATCGATTACGGGTAAATCTAACAAGTTACGGATGTGGTATCATGTATAAGCTTACCTTCTCCGATCAGAAGTCAACTTATCGACTGAAACAAACAGTGATAAAACCGCGTTATATATATATGGCACTGTATAGTAACAAACAAACAAAACTGTGCATCTAACAACACATTGTCTTCCAACAACACAAATAACTATGTATACAATTGTAGTACCACACGACTGACAGAGAATAGGTAAGCGAAAAAACAAGAATCGATTTAAAGACAGAAATAATTGATGTAGGTTCATCATCATACACCACGAGGGACAGGCCTACATAGGGGATTCCCCTTTTGCAAGCCTATCGACATTCCGATTGGCCCATCCTGTAGCCGCTCCAGTCGTACACAAAGGTTCACTTATCCCCATGTGTGTGTGTGAGGTCAGGTGATGCGTGAGCTGACGTACTTGAGCATATGCACCCTGTAACTTAACGCTGTTTTCTGACAAAAATATGGCTCAAGTACTGTCGGGAATGCTAAAAAAGTGTTTTTTGCCCGTTAAAAAAGGATAGAATTTTTTACTGACTGCTGCAATTGAAATATCGAATAACTACCGATCGACCTACCTGTGGTTTGAAGTATTTCGGTCACAAGGAGTCCTATCGACAATTTTACAAGAGAAAAATTCGAACGAAAACAGGAAGTTCGGATTTATTCCAAGTCCAATGATGGCATTCTTAAACGGACTATAGAAATATGCGCTCGTGACTATATAGTGTAGTCTTCCGAAAACATCTGATCAACACAAAAATTCTAGATGTGCATCTTCTAAAATAACAAAATGACGCTGCGTTTTATTCATCAACACTGCTCCCATGGTGCATGTTACGTTACACTTGTATAGCCATAGCCACGGTACACGACATGGAGTCAGTACTAGGAAATGCATACACGTGCTTTACATAGAGAGATAGAGGAAAACCATAAACCATTTATTAGTTTAGATGGGATGAATTACTGAACTGCCTAAGCCTAGGGGATTTCCAATTCATACCATCAAGTCTACGGTATGATGAGTAAAACTAAAAAGGTATTGGTGTGTGTGTGTGTGTGTGTGTGTGTTTGTGTGTGTGTGTGTTTGTGTGTGTGTGTGTTTGTGTGTGTGTGTGTTTGTGTGTGTGTGTGTGTGTGTGTGTTTGTGTTTGTGTGTGTGTTTGTGTGTGTGTGTGTGTGTGTGTGTGTGTTTGTGTGTGTGTGTGTGTTTGTGTGTGTGTGTGTGTGTGTGTGTGTGTGTGTGTGTGTGTGTGTGTGTGTGTGTGTGTGTGTGTGATACAGGGTGACGAGGTATATAGTGTACAAACTTTGTGAGCAGAATGTACCCCAGATGGCCGAGCAGCGTTCAGGGGGAAATATTCCATACCGTCTATGAGGTCACATTATCTCCGCACCATTCATAACTATCACAGCCAGGGCTCCCAGATCATTTACATTGAAGAATCATTCCACTGGCTACATGTGGCTATCAGCAGATGGACAAAAAAACACACATCAGGTAAAGGTAATCATGTCATTGTTTGCACGCCGCAACCTGTGATCTGGTGCTTATTGATGGATTTGGGTAGTTTTCGAGGTGAAAAAGAAAACTGGTGATTTCCAACAGGAAATTATAGGAGGAGATATGTTCATAGAATGGTTGGAACATCAGCTTTTGCCCACTTTAAACAACCTCAGTGTCATAGTCATGGATAACGCCAGTTAATATAACGTCCGGGAACCAGATACAGTCGCGCCAACCATGAGTAGTCTGAAGGCGACCATACAGGAATATATGACATTGTCGACTTCAGACCATCTGAAACGAAAGTTCATGGAGTAAAATCGACTGAATAAAAAAACAGTCAAGTACAAGACATATGTGCTGGCGGCACAACACGGTCTCGTTGTCAGACATTGTGAGCTCAACCCTGTTGAGCCTATCTTGGCTAACTGTACAGGGTTCGTTTCAAGACATAACTATGGAATACTGTAAGGGACATTCTCGCGATCTCGCATTCTCGCGATCTCGACCTTTGGAAACGAGGTAAATATGCCCAAAACACGAGAATGCGAGATCGCGAGAACGCGAGATTTGGCCAAAATCTCGCGTTCTCGCGATCTCGCATTCTCGTGTTTTTGGTACATAGCACTTTTTGTCAAAAGTCGACAACGCGAGAATGCGACATTTGGACATGATGCAAAATCTCGCAATCTCGCAATCTCGACTTGTCAAATTAGGCCACAAAAACACGAAATCGCGAGAACGCGAGAATGCGACATTTCATTTTCTCGCGATCTCGCGTTCTCGTGTTCTCGCGTTTTAGACGCTGTCCGTGCGCATGCGTAATATCATAAGGTCAAGCGCATGCGCACGTTAGTAGTCCTTTGGTCATGCTTCTTTCATGCTCTTCATTCTCCAAGTAGTATTGAGCAAACTTATGACTTGAGCTTGAAAATGCTATGTAATTTACATACACAAAATCTGAGTCATCTCCCGTTGTTACAGTTTCCTATGTACTTTATAATAAAACCCTAAACATGCTCAATATGATTTAACAAAAGAAATTGTGTCTATGAATGTCCAATGATGGTGAAAACATAAATGTGTCCGAAAGCTGGAAACAAAGCTATTACCGTCAGTGAGTGAGTGAGTAATATTGCTTAAAGCCGCATCAGCAGTATTGCAGTTATTCGCGGCTACACTGTCAGTTACAGAAATAATCACAAGCCAGTGAGTTTCTCAATGAGGCAATTTTATACACGGCTAGAATATTCATTAAAATAAAATTCTCACAGACCAATTTGTAGCATTCGGATAAAATGATATTGTCCGATGTTGTTTTTTTTTGTTTTTTTATACGATACCATATTCGCTACTTTAATTAATAGATTTTCATCCGCTCCCGCCTGACAACAAAACATCCTGCCTTACATTATTCTAATGCCCTCAAATTCCTAGAAATAGAAGTATCGTTAATATGAGTGTTCCTACTTTCTTTATCTGATAAAATACTCCGTACACGTAGCCCTACTGAGCACACATGATGCATGCGAATCGCATCCGCCGACAGCAACTGTACACATATGCCTAAAGTAGGTCGATAAGAACAAATTAAAAACGTTAAAAATAAAATGCCTCCTGTCTCCCATGTTTTTAAAAAATCAATCAAACTGTAACTATTAATTTTATTGCGGCCTTAACATTCAAATGACAGGCATGCTTATACTGGAAAAGTACCCCCAATATCCAGCCTGGGGGACCAGCATGACTCTGAATAAGTGAGTGAGTTTGGCTTAACACTGCTTTGAACAGTGTGTATATTTTAGTTATATCCCGGCTTGTCGGTTTAAAGGGGCACTAATCTTCTTCTCGGCTGTCTAACACTGCCAGCTGGGGCTCACCATCTGCCGATTTGCTCACTGAGGCAACTGAGCGTGACAAGAGACTGGACTACCGTGTTCAAGAACACTGATTGGTTACCTGTAATCTCTGAATCTCAGACAAAGGGCGCATGTTAATTAATTTCTTTAGCCTAAACAAACGGACAAAAAGAACGATGGAAGCTCATCGGATGTCGTTATTTGGAAATACCCCAGATGGTTATAAACTGAGGGCCAAAAGAAACGTTACCAACATTAACTGATTTGCCACTTTGAAACAAAGATGCCAACCTGTTCAAAAACAGTAAAGAACACATTTCACGAATACAGCCTTCATGTTCTCTGTCGTTCTTTGCACGTGCTTTGCGGATTTTGGGAAATATTGGTGTTTTTCAGCAATTTTTTAAAACAATCTTCCCCAAATTATCATGCAATTTCCGGGTATAAATTACGCAGGGATCTGTTCCCTATCAATGGTTGCGATGATTAACACCAACGAACATGCCAAGACTGACCGCTGTCCAGAAGGAGAGAGCCATAGGTATGCTGCAGATGGGAGCGACACAGAGAGCGGTTGCCATTAACATGAACTGCTCCAAGATGACCATTACCAGACTGGTCTCACGTCTCCGACAGACTGGCAGAACCGCAGACAGACCACGGAGTGGCAGACCATAGGTCACGACCCCGCAGGATGACCGCTTTTTACGGGTACGTCATCTGAGGAACAGATTTCTTACTGTGACGTCATCAGATGCCAACAGCTTAGGACATCCGGCCAGCAGACAAACAGTGACCAGACGACTACGACATTATGGTCTCCGGGCTTATCGCCCTTTCAAAGGCATGACCTTGACCCGTCAACATCGACGTGCCAGACTGACGTGGTGCAGACAACTCAGCGATGGCAACAAAGGGAATGGCGGCGAGTGCTGTTTAGTGACGAGAGCAGGTTCCAACTCTTCAAACCTGATGGGCGGACGCGAGTGTATCGACGACGTGGTGAACGTACGGCTCCTTGTTGTGTCCAGGAGGTGGAACCTTTAGGGGGCGGAAGTGTGATGGTCTGGGGCGACATTTGCGGAGACGAGAAGACGGAACTTGTCATCATCGAAGGCAATCTGACAGCACAACGCTACATTGACAATATCTTACGGCCAGTGGTTCTTCCTTTCACCCAGCGTCAACAACGGACGGTGTTCCAACAAGATAACGCCACACCCCATAAAGCCCGTATTACTAGAGACTTCCTCAACGCCAACAACGTGACTGTCCTGCCGTGGCCAGCTCGAACACCAGATCTGTCACCCACAGAACATCTCTGGGACCAGCTGGGGCGTCG